TACAGTGGGTGATCGGTTAACGAACATAATCCGTTCCAAGACTTTGTTCGCTATCCGAATTGTTCGTTAACCGATTATCGATTTACCATAGATTTTAATGGAAATTTAATTAATTCGTTCTGGAGACCCCCCAAAATGAAAAATATATACTACTTTCTTACTACGTTTATTTATATGTAATAATAAAAATACATACATACATAGTCTTGCATTTTTAATAGTCATGATTTTTCCGTTTGAAAGGGTTAAAGAATCTGTCTAATGTCGATTGCTTTTCTCTCTTCTTCAGGATTTTTCGTAAGTAATTAAATTAATATCTCAGATGTGATCTTTGTTACTCCTTTAGCTGCTTGAGTTTTCTTGATTATACTGTATTTTTCTTAAATACAGTAAGATTGAATTTCGGCCTACTATACACCTGTTCGTGCCATACTGCCTAGCAACATTAGGCATCTTCTGCCCACTCTCTATCTTTGCTTTTATACTCTCACCTTTCGAAAAGAAAAACAGACGCAAAACTTAACGAGTGCCTACCCGACATTCTCGTGAATACATAAAATAATTGTTTTGTCAGAAAAATAAAAGACTGGAATTACAATTGAGAGTTTCAAAGTTCGGAGGAATACTATCCGATCGGTATAAACCGGCTTAAGCGTCGATGTCAACGCCTTCCGCACTCCGAAATGTTTTGAATTGTTACCTGAAGACAAGAGAAAATCAATCGGTATTCATTATTTTACATCGCTTCTTCTTGTGTTTATTCTGTGAGGTGTTCGTTATTTGATCATATGTTCGTTGTCCGAACATAAAAATCTTTCGCAAAAGTGTTTGTTATCCGATTTGTTTGTTAACCGATCTGTTTGTTAACCGATTACCCACTGTATTTTGTTGTTTTCGTAATGTACATGTTTTGTATTGTTTGAGTCTAAGTGCTTTGGCTGCGAGTTTCTATTTTAGTGTATCAATGTATTCTGTAATGTGTGTGTTGTGATGTTCATGTTTTGTGTGTGTTTTGATTTTCTTGAAAATGTTTTTGAGTTGTTTGTTTNTAAAATAATAAAAAATAATCAATATTTTTACTTAATTATTAAAATGAAATATTAAAAACATGATGACTTTTTCGTTGTTGTTGTATTTTTAAGCTATCTTAAAAACTTATAAAACATTTCTCCAAAAAGTCATTGTGATGAAGGATTTTAATTATAGAAATATTTCAACATCTGGTTTTCACTTTTGGAAAGTACATTTTTTTAACCTAAAAATTTATTAATTTACAAATTCAGAAATTATGTATCAGTTAACTGAATTAATTGTTAATGTTAATTCAAATTTTGACTGCTTATTTAAGTTATTTATTCTTATTTATTGAAATATATATAAACAAAGTCAAATTATTGATCAATGTTAAATAATTTCAAATTTGATTATACTATTCTAGNGTGTGGTCACTCTTAGCTTCATTTCTCCCCATAGACCTTACTGGCATGGGTGTCCCTGCCAGGAGCTTGTGCTCCAGCCTGCATTGCTGTATGGTTCAGTAAAATTACTGGGCTCTTCCACCACGACCAGGTGGTGACCACGGGAGAGTTATTATTAATATTATTATTATTATTTAAAGTTACATAACATGTTACATAACAGTCTTAATTCTAGAATTAGTTTACAAGAAAAATTTATAATTTGTAAATTATTTTTCTGTTCACATAAGTAATTTTATAATTTATTAAATATAATAAATATATAAATTTTTATGCAACAAGATATTAATATACTAAATTTTTAATTCCAGTATTCAGCTTAATGCTGATTTGAACAATATTGTACATAGATTTTCTGAACATTACCATGATGCTTGGGCAAGCAGAAAGGTAATTCTATAAAATACTATTAATTAAAATTTGAAGATATAAAATTTACCTCATGTTACTTTTAAAGTTAATTATATTTTCTTATTTTACTTTCAATATGACATTCTACATATAATTAACATCCATTATTTTTTTCATTGAACTTATATAAACATTTATTAAATAGAAAATTTTATGAATGAGGACTAAAATAAGAAAGGAGTAATCATAATTTATAAACGTATATTTTTGACATAAAATAAAGTAGCAGTTTTTTTCATTTATTTAAGATTACCAAAACTGTATTTAAAATCTGCAACATTATTGGCCTAAACTTGGGCATCTTCAGTGTCAAGCAAACTTTTTAAACATTTCAAATTGTAAGGAATAAAAAATTTAATTATTACAAATGTAAAGTATAACACATTAAATGATATTATTAATTATATTTGTAACAAATATTGATTTATTTGGAACCTGATGTTTTAAATTAGATCAGCTTATAAAATGAACAAACTAATAAAGAATGAAACTGAACATGTAATCCATTAACTTTAGTTTAAAATATGGATTAATTTATTTCAAACTTGTGTGAATAAATTCATTTTTGACTATTTTGTAATAAATATTGAAATAATTATAATGAGTAAAAGATTACCTTTATATAGTAAAGTGAGTTAGTTACATTAATTGGTTTATAATTGATAAACAAATTGTTTAATAAGAAGCTAAAAATTAATAATACAACTTTGTTTTTAATACAATTTTTTACAATTAATTTTTAATAGCAATGCAAATAACAAATTGTTTGTTTTTTCAGTTTAGGATTATTATAGAACATTAAGACTTTAGTTTTCTAAATGCTAATGGGAAATTTATTGATTAGCAAATATTGATATACAATATTGAATTTATTGTTTTTCTAAGATACAATAGAAAGTGTCATATTTTCAATATAAAGAATACCAGGACTTAGTTTCAAAATTTCTGAATGAAAGATGTCATTGGTTTAAAAAAAAAATTTAGTGTGTTTTTAAGAAAGTCCAAAAAAGATAAAAAGAAAATTAGAAATATCATTATTTTTCAAAAACTTTATTAGAATAAATTTAAACAGGAATTGAAGTTAATATAACTTATTTCTGAAAATATACAATGGAATCATGGATTATAATTATGAGAAATTGTTTTGATTTTTAAGAAAATGAATGAAATTATTTGGATTTTATATCTATAAATTAATGGTTCTCAATGCATAACATATTGTAAATTGATGAATTCCCAAATTTTATACCAGAAATTGTTAAAAATTACATATATGTTTTATATACTATTCTTTAATTATCAAAATAAATTAAATAAAATAAACAGATTTTATAAAAAATCAAAAATAGAATTTTTTAATAATAGTAATAATAAATCCTGAAATTAGGTTTAAATATTTTATATTGGATGAAACAGTATATATATTATATAAATATAGAGATGCTGAGCATTCTCAAAATCTACAGATCAATTACATGTTTACCAACAATCTAAAAGATTTTCACAGGTATGATTACTAATTTTGTATATCAACACTTAAGAGTGTAACAATCCCAACTATTGAGCAGAAAGGATGTACTAGAAAATCACATGGTTGTAAAGAGCAACTAATTATTGACTCTGTGATGATAAACTAAGTTTATATAAAATATAGAAACTACAGCACAACATTTATAGACTACAAGAAAGTTTTTGATAGTGTTCTGCAAGATTGATTAATATGCTCTTTAAAGGCATATTGTACAAGCAATAATATGATAGGTGTGCTAGAAAACATCATAAAAATTTGGATAACACAGTTATAAGTGCAATGCACAAGATTCAATAAAATTCAAATTAAAAGAGGGATATACCAGGGATGTCATTGTCATACCAGGGAAACTCATTGAATCCTTCATGGTTTATCCTTTCTATAAATTCACTTTCTATTCTACTAAAAAATTTATAATTTGAATTTAGAATAGAACAGAAAAAGCAAAGCTTAAAAAAATCTCATCTTTTCTACATGGATTATCTAAAACTAATTGCAGAAAATAATAATCAGTTAATGGGCTTGATAGATATTATCAAAGAGTTATTAAAATGCTATTTAGGCTAGATGATGTGCTGTAATGAGGTTGGCTTATGGAAGAATCAATAAAATCAAGAATTTTGAATTAATAATGGCCAATTCATCAAATGTCTTAGACAACCAAGTACATAAATACTAAGATAAATCAAGATACAAAGATCAATCATTCAAAATTAAAAGAATCATTTGAAAAAGATTATACAAATAGTTAGAAATATTTTAAAATTTTGAGTGTTTTGGAAAAGTAAAAATATGCACAATAAATATATTTGCATCAACAATGTCTGAAACACTAGACAAATTTTAAAATGGTCTGAAACACTAGATAGCTTAGACAGAAAACCAAGAGCAATAAAGTGTAAATTTAAGGGCAGTGTTGAAAGAGCATATATCTTAAGATAAATAATAAATGATGTGCTCAAATTAATAAATTCAAAACATTAATGCTGTAATATGATAATCTGAGATCACTCTTTAGAAATTCAGAATCCAACCTACTCAAATATATTATTGTAGCTGATAAGAATTATAAACTTCTAAATTTGAGCAAAGCTCAATTTGAAGTAAACAATGTAAAAAATGAATAAAAAACAAAAGTATGGAGATGTAAGGCTTTGCACAAAGAGTATCCTTCATCAATTATTAGAGACTTTGTTAACATTGTTGCATCAATGGTTTGGCTAACAAAGGGACTTCTCTTTAGTGAAACTGAAGGTTTCCTCTGTGTATTCAAGTGCAAATACAAGAAATTATCAAAAATATATATTAGGAAATGATAAAGATGATGAATGCCGGCTCTATCAGTCTAAGAGTGAAATTATTGAACATATAATTTCTGGATATAAAATTTTCATGTCATCCAAGTATAAAAGGTGTCACAAGTAGGTAGCTAAGGTACTATATGAAAGACTGGTTAAAAAATATAACCTGTTAACATCTTTTCCACTGTATTATAAATTCTCTCTATCTCCTGTTTTAAAAAATGAAAAATGTGTCTTACATTGGTATATAGAGATGATTGCAGATAAAAGTGTGGACTATAATACCCCTGATCAAAAAGTATTGGGAATGGTTTAATAAAGTTAAAAATTTTAATTTATTCATCAGAATTTATTTTTTCCTTCAAAGTAATCCCCTCCCATTGCAATGCATTTATAGCAATGTTTTTTCCAATCCTTGAAACATACTTTAAAGTTGCTTTTATGAAACCTCTTTAGTGAATTTTGTTTTATGTTTTATGTTTTATGTTTTAGTGAATTTTGTTTTATGTTTTATAAAACAAAATTCAGTGAATTTTGTTTTATGGTATCAATCGACTCAAAATGGTGGCACAAAGTAGAACTGTTAATCAAGGAAACAGGAAAAATCACATGGTGCCATATCAGATTGAGGAATTAATATTTGTTGAAGTTTTAGCCAAAAACTCATGAACAACAAGAGCATTGTGAGCAGATGCATTATTATCGTGCAAAACCAATAAGTTTTCTTGTCGCAAATTAGGTCATTTTCAAATTGCTTCATGCAAATGACAAAAAATGCTCAAATAATATTCTTTGTTAACAGTTTAGCCAGTCAAAAGGAATTTATGATACATGACACCACAACAATTTAAGAAAACTGTCAACCAATCTTAATTTTTGACTGACTTTGACATGGTCTTTTTCAGTCTTGCTTCATCTTTTGAGTGCCCTTCACTTGATTGTTGAGCTGTTTCAGTGTCAAAAGCATAGATCCATGTTTTATCACTTGTAATGATGTGTTGTAAGAATGATTTAACTTGAGAAAACATTTCTTCGGCCATTGAACATGTTTTTGAAAAAATTCAATATTTTTGGGATGACTCAAGAAGTGATGCACCACAAGTCCAAATAATCTTTTAAAATTGTTTGACAAGATACAAATGATACTGGAACATGTTTAGTAGTGTCCCTAATTGTTAAACAATGATCATTGAGCACCAAATCTTTGACTTGAGTGATGTGATATGTTCGTCAGTTGAAGTGGATGGTCTACCAGAGCATGGTTCATCTTTGATGCATTCTTTGTCTTCCTTGAACATTTTGTATCACTCAAACTTTTTGTTTTTGATAGACTATCATCACCAAAGCTTTTTTGCAACAATTCCAATATTTTTGTAGCAATAAGTCTGTTGTGAAAACAAAATTATTGCACATTCTTTGAAATTTTGAAAAATTGCCAGCACAGAAATTCTTTACACAAAAAAACAAGCATTTATTTGCAAACAAAAACAGACAATGACATAAAGATTGCTGCTAGATGTCAATGAAAGTCATACCAAATGACAAAAAAAAAAAATATACAATGAAAGCACTCTCTTGCATGTGCATATTTTAAATGAACTATTCCCAATATTTTTGATCACAGTAGTAAACAAGATATTGTTTTAATATTGAAAGACCTGAAAGAGTCCTAATTCATAGATGTAAAAATTCCACTTAACAAAAAATATAATGAAAGCAGAAAGTGAGAAAATCTCAAAATCTTAAATGAAAATAAAAATAATTTGGAAATAAATAAATTACATATTATGCCAATTATTTTATCTGCAACAACTGTGTGCCCAAAATCATTAGTGAAAAATTTTAAATTGCCGAGTATTTATGATCATATTATTCTGAATATGATTTCTAAATTTTTTTGTATTAAAATTGTAAGAAAAGTCTTCAAAAATTGAACCTAAATCTGTTCGAAATTTTCTTTTTTCCAGATTGGATAAATGTTTCTAGCAAAAGCTGAGAAGTGCATAATTCAAATAATAATAAACAGGAGTAATCAGTATAATTGTTGTTGTTTCTTTTTGGCTAATTTTTAAATATTTGAAGCTAAAATGAACACTATGTAGGGCTATTTGCTAAATGATATTTATTTTGTTGAGAAGAACAATCAATTAGGATAAACAGATACTTTATCACTACTAAATTGTATCCTTGTAACTATTGAGTTTTCAATAGATCGTTCAGGAGTGTATGGTTTATGATAGTGCAAGTTATGTGAAAATTTTATTTCTGTTCTATCAATTTTTGCAGAGTATATGCTAGTGTGGGTTATCTGTATAAAATTACAGTAGTACTTTCAATTGTAGTTTTTGATGATGATTAAAATTTCTCCAAGGTACACAACAGTTATAGAGTAGATGAGTGTTTTCCAACTATTAATCCATGGATAGACTGAAGTTGAGAAATTGTGCTACAAATATACAACAAAGGCTCAAATTAAAGATGATAAATTTGTAAGAACATACATCAGTAATAAAATGAGTTAACAGTAATTGATGAAAATCTCATATGATACAGAAACAAATATGAACTGTTATTGATAGATTAATTTACTGATGGAACATATTATCTAAATTGTTTTATTAATGTTATGCATATACAGTTGATAAAAGTACTTAAATTAACAGATTTTGTTTCATTTTTGAGACTTTCAGAAATACAATATACTTTTTAAGATACAACTTATTAAAAAAGTTATTAGCAATATGAAGTTATCATGAGATAGGAAAAAAATAAAGGCTATTACTGGATTGTCTTATTGATACATCACATGCATATTTGAATTAGTTAATTTGTTTTAAGATTATAAAGATATTTTTTAAAAACTGAACTGTGCTTTTAAATGAATTTGAGTTCTTAAGCAAATTTCTAAGCAAAACTATTTTAAGAAATCCAAGTTTTTATTACAGTAAACACACTTGGATTATTTATAAATCTATCAGTTTAACAAAACCATTTATAATAAATTAAAAATTTATACAAATTTGTTATCTTCACTGATTAAAATCCAGTTTTCTTAATTTAAATATTTTGAATATATAGTTAAACATAATTATTTTCAAATTAATAATAAAAACTTCTAGAAAATTTAAATTCATGCATTAATTGCATGAATAAAACTGCAAATGTATTTAAAAAAGAGACAGAGCTTTTAAAATAATAAAAAATAATCAATATTTTTACTTAATTATTAAAATGAAATATTAAAAACATGATGACTTTTTCGTTGTTGTTGTATTTTTAAGCTATCTTAAAAACTTATAAAACATTTCTCCAAAAAGTCATTGTGATGAAGGATTTTAATTATAGAAATATTTCAACATCTGGTTTTCACTTTTGGAAAGTACATTTTTTTAACCTAAAAATTTATTAATTTACAAATTCAGAAATTATGTATCAGTTAACTGAATTAATTGTTAATGTTAATTCAAATTTTGACTGCTTATTTAAGTTATTTATTCTTATTTATTGAAATATATATAAACAAAGTCAAATTATTGATCAATGTTAAATAATTTCAAATTTGATTATACTATTCTAGCTGATAATGAACTGTTAATAATAGTAATAATTAGCATATCTAATACTAGTAATAGTAATTAATAATAGTAATTTCAAAATTTCAATAATAGTAGTAATAATAATAATAATAATAATAATAATTGTAAAATTTTAATATTATGTTATATAATTAAAAGATATTTTGATATTGCTTGTATCTTTGATATTGATATTGTATCTTTGTATTTTGATATTGCTTACAGACCTAAATAAGCTGAATATTTAATTTAATTTTTAAGTAATTTTTAATGAAAAAAAATTATAAGACTATCATAATTTTTAATTAATTCAAAGATGATAAAATTTTAATTTTATTAAATTTTTATAGTTTGAAAGTGGTTGGTCTTATGGTGATTATTGGAGTAGCGAAAGGAAAACTCATCCACGATTAAAACCATATAGTTTATTAAGTGATAGAGTAAGTTATACAAAAAAATATTAAATTGATTAAATTTTGTTATTTTTATTAATAATAGATTAAATATTTTAAATTGAATTAGGAAAAAGAATGCTATGAAGAGCCTGTAAGAGAATCTTTAAAAGCAATTTTAGCTCTGGGGTGGAAAATTGAATTAACTGATTCATCTCGAGCATCAGCTTCTCAAGTAACTTCTCCAAAAACAGTGAGATACTTTTATTTTTACTTTGATAAAACTTTTACAATAAATAAAATATATTTTGAAAGAATATTTGTTTTTAGTTATTTTTTTTATTTTTACAGTCAAAATTATTTCAGAAATTTAAAAGAGATTTTGCAATGTAACTAACTAGTTTTACACAGTGCATAAATGGTTAGTGTTATGGTTAGATGTGAAAAAATATTTGCATTCTGCACAATATACTTCATTTATGCAATTACAGATATATGCTAAAACTTTCAGGTGCTTTTCTTCCAGGATGTATTTATTTCTCAAATTATGTTTTCATGCCAAAAACATTGAAGGATACTTTGATGAATGCATTTTTAAATTATCCATAAACTGGAATTAGCAAGAATAAAACTAGACCAAAATGCTGACCATTTCAAAGAAAATAAAATTAAATAGTAATTATACAATGACAAAAAATTAAACTATATATTTTCTTATTTTACTAAGAATATATAAAAAGCACATTGGAATGAATATTTCTGTGACATTTTCAGACAGAATTTCTCAGATATTTATTATTAAATGTATTAAATCTTAGAATTTATTTTTAAAACAACTTAAAATGATGTGTATTCTTTAAAAATTTTTTAAAAATGAAGCAAATTTTTAAAAAAACTAATGAAATTTTGCAATTTTAAGCAGTTTTAGTTTGTATATTAATTTTTTGGGCTGAAGGTGTTAATTGAATAGTTTAATAGTTTGTTAAATATATAAATTCTTCTATTTAAAACAATTTTAATAATTTAAAAAATTTTTATACATAATTTAGTGTTTTACAACACATTATATTAATTTAATAAAAATAATTAACATTGAAAAGGAAATAAATTTGTTAATTTTGTTGAAATAATTTGATTTTTTGATTTGAATATTTTTTATTATATTTACAACTATAACATTTTTAAAATCAGAGAATAATAGAATAAATTTTACATTTTATTGTTTTCCTGACTACTTTATTTAATAATTAATATATTTTTGTAATTGTGCCATTGCCCTGAAATTGTTACTGTTTTTGCTTATCAAAGCCAAAGAGTAGCCTTAAATAAAAGGTTGACTCTACCTTTCTCTGCTGTTCTTGAGGTGTTAAAAAGAACAAAATATGAAGATATTTATTGTTTATTTTAATTTTCTGAATATTTTTATATTTTATTGTTGTCCTGGCTATTTTACTTATTAAAGAATAATATTCTATTAACATTATTTTAATCTTAACATTCAACAATAGAATTGCTGAAATATTCAAGTATTTAAATAATAACAAGTATTGGAATTATATGTAATGTAGACAATGGTTCTTCTCAGTATCAAAATGTTTATAAATAAAACACTATACAAAAAACTTTAAAACTTCTTTAAGGAACTTTCTTTTTTTTCCTTATAATTTTTGGATGTGAATTTATTACTATTTACATGATATTTACTTGTATAAAGTTAAAAAATTAATAGAAAAATTTTTTTATTGGTATAATTATATATGATAAAGTATGATGTATAGATACATCATAACAAAATTATTACAAAAGTTGCTTCTAGCCCTTGATATAATTATATTAATTAAATTATCAACAACTGTGAGGTAGATAATAGTGAGGGCTTATCAGACCAATGATGGGCACAAACGCTCAGGGATCAAAGTGAAAACAATTTAATAAACACAAAAAATTACTACATAAGTATAGGATTTTACTATATTTTGGGTTATTACTATTTAGGGTATTACTACATTTTGGGTTTTCATTTCCATACTTATGTAGTAATTTTTTGTGTTTATTAAATTGTTTCACTTTGATTCCTGAGCATTTATCTGCTTCACAGTTATTGATAATTTAATTAATATAAGATACATCATACTTTATCATATAATTGATAGTTGATAGATACATGATAGAGTATAATAGATGAATGAATATGAAATTTTTGTTTAGTGAATTTGAAATTATGCTGTGTACAAAACACATTTTGATTCGTTGTTTATATTAATAATCATTACAAATCTTGATTTAAAATCTTTTTTAAATTATATTTGTCATCAAAATAAAGTTCTGTGTAAAATAATAAATCTTTAATTTTATTATTTAATTAATTTGAGATGTAATCAAATCATCATGTAATCTTTTCCCATGTATAGTTTTATTTTCTGTTCACTTTTTTGTAGTTAACTTTGACTTGAAATATTTATTAATAAACTACATAATATTTATAAACAAGCAGGTATAACTGTGAGTTTTTTCCCTTTAAACTAAAGTAGGACTGCAATTATCTGAGCTCCAATTATTTGAGGTTCTGCATTATATGAAGTGAATCTGAAAACTAAACTTAAAAACTAATTTTCTTAACTCTAAAGACTTGTAAAGAAAATTTAAAATGATGTTACCAGTAACAGTGTGATAAGTTTCTGTAATCTCTACTAAAGTATTTTAGATTTAGTTTCAACAAATTTCAAGACAAGAAGCTCTTTTATAATATAAAATTTAAAATAATAATGTGAATTACAAATGATTTGTTTCTATTACTTTATGTTGTTTAGAAAATGTTGTTTAGACAATGGTTTTACTGAACTTGATTTCTGTAATATTTAGGTAGATTGTAAAAAATGAAAAATAAAATCAGTATATATCAACTAATAATGTATGTATTTAAAAGTTTAAAGGTTTAGTATACATAAATATTAAATTGTTAATAGAATATAAAGGCCATAATTTTAAATATTGTTTGCAAAAAGAATTAACAAAAAGAATTAAAAGTGGTAATTTTTGATTGATGATTATATTTATTCTATGATTTAATCTGATTTTTAGGGAGAATCAACCCATTCATACAATCCCCAACCTGTTGATCTCACAACACTCACATTGAGCAGAGAAATGCAGGTAAGATAAAATTTAAAACAATTCAATTTTATCTTTTTGAGAAAATTTAATCTTACATATTTTTATGTAGAATATGGCAGAAAGATTAGCAGAAAATACTCATGATATATGGGCCATGAAANAGAATTTTTTAATAATAGTAATAATAAATCCTGAAATTAGGTTTAAATATTTTATATTGGATGAAACAGTATATATATTATATAAATATAGAGATGCTGAGCATTCTCAAAATCTACAGATCAATTACATGTTTACCAACAATCTAAAAGATTTTCACAGGTATGATTACTAATTTTGTATATCAACACTTAAGAGTGTAACAATCCCAACTATTGAGCAGAAAGGATGTACTAGAAAATCACATGGTTGTAAAGAGCAACTAATTATTGACTCTGTGATGATAAACTAAGTTTATATAAAATATAGAAACTACAGCACAACATTTATAGACTACAAGAAAGTTTTTGATAGTGTTCTGCAAGATTGATTAATATGCTCTTTAAAGGCATATTGTACAAGCAATAATATGATAGGTGTGCTAGAAAACATCATAAAAATTTGGATAACACAGTTATAAGTGCAATGCACAAGATTCAATAAAATTCAAATTAAAAGAGGGATATACCAGGGATGTCATTGTCATACCAGGGAAACTCATTGAATCCTTCATGGTTTATCCTTTCTATAAATTCACTTTCTATTCTACTAAAAAATTTATAATTTGAATTTAGAATAGAACAGAAAAAGCAAAGCTTAAAAAAATCTCATCTTTTCTACATGGATTATCTAAAACTAATTGCAGAAAATAATAATCAGTTAATGGGCTTGATAGATATTATCAAAGAGTTATTAAAATGCTATTTAGGCTAGATGATGTGCTGTAATGAGGTTGGCTTATGGAAGAATCAATAAAATCAAGAATTTTGAATTAATAATGGCCAATTCATCAAATGTCTTAGACAACCAAGTACATAAATACTAAGATAAATCAAGATACAAAGATCAATCATTCAAAATTAAAAGAATCATTTGAAAAAGATTATACAAATAGTTAGAAATATTTTAAAATTTTGAGTGTTTTGGAAAAGTAAAAATATGCACAATAAATATATTTGCATCAACAATGTCTGAAACACTAGACAAATTTTAAAATGGTCTGAAACACTAGATAGCTTAGACAGAAAACCAAGAGCAATAAAGTGTAAATTTAAGGGCAGTGTTGAAAGAGCATATATCTTAAGATAAATAATAAATGATGTGCTCAAATTAATAAATTCAAAACATTAATGCTGTAATATGATAATCTGAGATCACTCTTTAGAAATTCAGAATCCAACCTACTCAAATATATTATTGTAGCTGATAAGAATTATAAACTTCTAAATTTGAGCAAAGCTCAATTTGAAGTAAACAATGTAAAAAATGAATAAAAAACAAAAGTATGGAGATGTAAGGCTTTGCACAAAGAGTATCCTTCATCAATTATTAGAGACTTTGTTAACATTGTTGCATCAATGGTTTGGCTAACAAAGGGACTTCTCTTTAGTGAAACTGAAGGTTTCCTCTGTGTATTCAAGTGCAAATACAAGAAATTATCAAAAATATATATTAGGAAATGATAAAGATGATGAATGCCGGCTCTATCAGTCTAAGAGTGAAATTATTGAACATATAATTTCTGGATATAAAATTTTCATGTCATCCAAGTATAAAAGGTGTCACAAGTAGGTAGCTAAGGTACTATATGAAAGACTGGTTAAAAAATATAACCTGTTAACATCTTTTCCACTGTATTATAAATTCTCTCTATCTCCTGTTTTAAAAAATGAAAAATGTGTCTTACATTGGTATATAGAGATGATTGCAGATAAAAGTGTGGACTATAATACCCCTGATCAAAAAGTATTGGGAATGGTTTAATAAAGTTCAAAATTTTAATTTATTCATCAGAATTTATTTTTTCCTTCAAAGTAATCCCCTCCCATTGCAATGCATTTATAGCAATGTTTTTTCCAATCCTTGAAACATACTTTAAAGTTGCTTTTATGAAACCTCTTTAGTGAATTTTGTTTTATGTTTTATGTTTTATGTTTTAGTGAATTTTGTTTTATGTTTTATAAAACAAAATTCAGTGAATTTTGTTTTATGGTATCAATCGACTCAAAATGGTGGCACAAAGTAGAACTGTTAATCAAGGAAACAGGAAAAATCACATGGTGCCATATCAGATTGAGGAATTAATATTTGTTGAAGTTTTAGCCAAAAACTCATGAACAACAAGAGCATTGTGAGCAGATGCATTATTATCGTGCAAAACCAATAAGTTTTCTTGTCGCAAATTAGGTCATTTTCAAATTGCTTCATGCAAATGACAAAAAATGCTCAAATAATATTCTTTGTTAACAGTTTAGCCAGTCAAAAGGAATTTATGATACATGACACCACAACAATTTAAGAAAACTGTCAACCAATCTTAATTTTTGACTGACTTTGACATGGTCTTTTTCAGTCTTGCTTCATCTTTTGAGTGCCCTTCACTTGATTGTTGAGCTGTTTCAGTGTCAAAAGCATAGATCCATGTTTTATCACTTGTAATGATGTGTTGTAAGAATGATTTAACTTGAGAAAACATTTCTTCGGCCATTGAACATGTTTTTGAAAAAATTCAATATTTTTGGGATGACTCAAGAAGTGATGCACCACAAGTCCAAATAATCTTTTAAAATTGTTTGACAAGATACAAATGATACTGGAACATGTTTAGTAGTGTCCCTAATTGTTAAACAATGATCATTGAGCACCAAATCTTTGACTTGAGTGATGTGATATGTTCGTCAGTTGAAGTGGATGGTCTACCAGAGCATGGTTCATCTTTGATGCATTCTTTGTCTTCCTTGAACATTTTGTATCACTCAAACTTTTTGTTTTTGATAGACTATCATCACCAAAGCTTTTTTGCAACAATTCCAATATTTTTGTAGCAATAAGTCTGTTGTGAAAACAAAATTATTGCACATTCTTTGAAATTTTGAAAAATTGCCAGCACAGAAATTCTTTACACAAAAAAACAAGCATTTATTTGCAAACAAAAACAGACAATGACATAAAGATTGCTGCTAGATGTCAATGAAAGTCATACCAAATGACAAAAAAAAAAAATATACAATGAAAGCACTCTCTTGCATGTGCATATTTTAAATGAACTATTCCCAATATTTTTGATCACAGTAGTAAACAAGATATTGTTTTAATATTGAAAGACCTGAAAGAGTCCTAATTCATAGATGTAAAAATTCCACTTAACAAAAAATATAATGAAAGCAGAAAGTGAGAAAATCTCAAAATCTTAAATGAAAATAAAAATAATTTGGAAATAAATAAATTACATATTATGCCAATTATTTTATCTGCAACAACTGTGTGCCCAAAATCATTAGTGAAAAATTTTAAATTGCCGAGTATTTATGATCATATTATTCTGAATATGATTTCTAAATTTTTTTGTATTAAAATTGTAAGAAAAGTCTTCAAAAATTGAACCTAAATCTGTTCGAAATTTTCTTTTTTCCAGATTGGATAAATGTTTCTAGCAAAAGCTGAGAAGTGCATAATTCAAATAATAATAAACAGGAGTAATCAGTATAATTGTTGTTGTTTCTTTTTGGCTAATTTTTAAATATTTGAAGCTAAAATGAACACTATGTAGGGCTATTTGCTAAATGATATTTATTTTGTTGAGAAGAACAATCAATTAGGATAAACAGATACTTTATCACTACTAAATTGTATCCTTGTAACTATTGAGTTTTCAATAGATCGTTCAGGAGTGTATGGTTTATGATAGTGCAAGTTATGTGAAAATTTTATTTCTGTTCTATCAATTTTTGCAGAGTATATGCTAGTGTGGGTTATCTGTATAAAATTACAGTAGTACTTTCAATTGTAGTTTTTGATGATGATTAAAATTTCTCCAAGGTACACAACAGTTATAGAGTAGATGAGTGTTTTCCAACTATTAATCCATGGATAGACTGAAGTTGAGAAATTGTGCTACAAATATACAACAAAGGCTCAAATTAAAGATGATAAATTTGTAAGAACATACATCAGTAATAAAATGAGTTAACAGTAATTGATGAAAATCTCATATGATACAGAAACAAATATGAACTGTTATTGATAGATTAATTTACTGATGGAACATATTATCTAAATTGTTTTATTAATGTTATGCATATACAGTTGATAAAAGTACTTAAATTAACAGATTTTGTTTCATTTTTGAGACTTTCAGAAATACAATATACTTTTTAAGATACAACTTATTAAAAAAGTTATTAGCAATATGAAGTTATCATGAGATAGGAAAAAAATAAAGGCTATTACTGGATTGTCTTATTGATACATCACATGCATATTTGAATTAGTTAATTTGTTTTAAGATTATAAAGATATTTTTTAAAAACTGAACTGTGCTTTTAAATGAATTTGAGTTCTTAAGCAAATTTCTAAGCAAAACTATTTTAAGAAATCCAAGTTTTTATTACAGTAAACACACTTGGATTATTTATAAATCTATCAGTTTAACAAAACCATTTATAATAAATTAAAAATTTATACAAATTTGTTATCTTCACTGATTAAAATCCAGTTTTCTTAATTTAAATATTTTGAATATATAGTTAAACATAATTATTTTCAAATTAATAATAAAAACTTCTAGAAAATTTAAATTTATGCATTAATTGCATGAATAAAACTGCAAATGTATTTAAAAAAGAGACAGAGCTTTTAAAATAATAAAAAATAATCAATATTTTTACTTAATTATTAAAATGAAATATTAAAAACATGATGACTTTTTCGTTGTTGTTGTATTTTTAAGCTATCTTAAAAACTTATAAAACATTTCTCCAAAAAGTCATTGTGATGAAGGATTTTAATTATAGAAATATTTCAACATCTGGTTTTCACTTTTGGAAAGTACATTTTTTTAACCTAAAAATTTATTAATTTACAAATTCAGAAATTATGTATCAGTTAACTGAATTAATTGTTAATGTTAATTCAAATTTTGACTGCTTATTTAAGTTATTTATTCTTATTTATTGAAATATATATAAACAAAGTCAAATTATTGATCAATGTTAAATAATTTCAAATTTGATTATACTATTCTAGCTGATAATGAACTGTTAATAATAGTAATAATTAGCATATCTAATACTAGTAATAGTAATTAATAATAGTAATTTCAAAATTTCAATAATAGTAGTAATAATAATAATAATAATAATAATAATTGTAAAATTTTAATATTATGTTATATAATTAAAAGATATTTTGATATTGCTTGTATCTTTGATATTGATATTGTATCTTTGTATTTTGATATTGCTTACAGACCTAAATAAGCTGAATATTTAATTTAATTTTTAAGTAATTTTTAATGAAAAAAAATTATAAGACTATCATAATTTTTAATTAATTCAAAGATGATAAAATTTTAATTTTATTAAATTTTTATAGTTTGAAAGTGGTTGGTCTTATGGTGATTATTGGAGTAGCGAAAGGAAAACTCATCCACGATTAAAACCATATAGTTTATTAAGTGATAGAGTAAGTTATACAAAAAAATATTAAATTGATTAAATTTTGTTATTTTTATTAATAATAGATTAAATATTTTAAATTGAATTAGGAAAAAGAATGCTATGAAGAGCCTGTAAGAGAATCTTTAAAAGCAATTTTAGCTCTGGGGTGGAAAATTGAATTAACTGATTCATCTCGAGCATCAGCTTCTCAAGTAACTTCTCCAAAAACAGTGAGATACTTTTATTTTTACTTTGATAAAACTTTTACAATAAATAAAATATATTTTGAAAGAATATTTGTTTTTAGTTATTTTTTTTATTTTTACAGTCAAAATTATTTCAGAAATTTAAAAGAGATTTTGCAATGTAACTAACTAGTTTTACACAGTGCATAAATGGTTAGTGTTATGGTTAGATGTGAAAAAATATTTGCATTCTGCACAATATACTTCATTTATGCAATTACAGATATATGCTAAAACTTTCAGGTGCTTTTCTTCCAGGATGTATTTATTTCTCAAATTATGTTTTCATGCCAAAAACATTGAAGGATACTTTGATGAATGCATTTTTAAATTATCCATAAACTGGAATTAGCAAGAATAAAACTAGACCAAAATGCTGACCATTTCAAAGAAAATAAAATTAAATAGTAATTATACAATGACAAAAAATTAAACTATATATTTTCTTATTTTACTAAGAATATATAAAAAGCACATTGGAATGAATATTTCTGTGACATTTTCAGACAGAATTTCTCAGATATTTATTATTAAATGTATTAAATCTTAGAATTTATTTTTAAAACAACTTAAAATGATGTGTATTCTTTAAAAATTTTTTAAAAATGAAGCAAATTTTTAAAAAAACTAATGAAATTTTGCAATTTTAAGCAGTTTTAGTTTGTATATTAATTTTTTGGGCTGAAGGTGTTAATTGAATAGTTTAATAGTTTGTTAAATATATAAATTCTTCTATTTAAAACAATTTTAATAATTTAAAAAATTTTTATACATAATTTAGTGTTTTACAACACATTATATTAATTTAATAAAAATAATTAACATTGAAAAGGAAATAAATTTGTTAATTTTGTTGAAATAATTTGATTTTTTGATTTGAATATTTTTTATTATATTTACAACTATAACATTTTTAAAATCAGAGAATAATAGAATAAATTTTACATTTTATTGTTTTCCTGACTACTTTATTTAATAATTAATATATTTTTGTAATTGTGCCATTGCCCTGAAATTGTTACTGTTTTTGCTTATCAAAGCCAAAGAGTAGCCTTAAATAAAAGGTTGACTCTACCTTTCTCTGCTGTTCTTGAGGTGTTAAAAAGAACAAAATATGAAGATATTTATTGTTTATTTTAATTTTCTGAATATTTTTATATTTTATTGTTGTCCTGGCTATTTTACTTATTAAAGAATAATATTCTATTAACATTATTTTAATCTTAACATTCAACAATAGAATTGCTGAAATATTCAAGTATTTAAATAATAACAAGTATTGGAATTATATGTAATGTAGACAATGGTTCTTCTCAGTATCAAAATGTTTATAAATAAAACACTATACAAAAAACTTTAAAACTTCTTTAAGGAACTTTCTTTTTTTTCCTTATAATTTTTGGATGTGAATTTATTACTATTTACATGATATTTACTTGTATAAAGTTAAAAAATTAATAGAAAAATTTTTTTATTGGTATAATTATATATGATAAAGTATGATGTATAGATACATCATAACAAAATTATTACAAAAGTTGCTTCTAGCCCTTGATATAATTATATTAATTAAATTATCAACAACTGTGAGGTAGATAATAGTGAGGGCTTATCAGACCAATGATGGGCACAAACGCTCAGGGATCAAAGTGAAAACAATTTAATAAACACAAAAAATTACTACATAAGTATAGGATTTTACTATATTTTGGGTTATTACTATTTAGGGTATTACTACATTTTGGGTTTTCATTTCCATACTTATGTAGTAATTTTTTGTGTTTATTAAATTGTTTCACTTTGATTCCTGAGCATTTATCTGCCTCACAGTTATTGATAATTTAATTAATATAAGATACATCATACTTTATCATATAATTGATAGTTGATAGATACATGATAGAGTATAATAGATGAATGAATATGAAATTTTTGTTTAGTGAATTTGAAATTATGCTGTGTACAAAACACATTTTGATTTGTTGTTTATATTAATAATCATTACAAATCTTGATTTAAAATCTTTTTTAAATTATATTTGTCATCAAAATAAAGTTCTGTGTAAAATAATAAATCTTTAATTTTATTATTTAATTAATTTGAGATGTAATCAAATCATCATGTAATCTTTTCCCATGTATAGTTTTATTTTCTGTTCACTTTTTTGTAGTTAACTTTGACTTGAAATATTTATTAATAAACTACATAATATTTATAAACAAGCAGGTATAACTGTGAGTTTTTTCCCTTTAAACTAAAGTAGGACTGCAATTATCTGAGCTCCAATTATTTGAGGTTCTGCATTATATGAAGTGAATCTGAAAACTAAACTTAAAAACTAATTTTCTTAACTCTAAAGACTTGNGATACATGTCTCTTTGGGGTATAAACATGGACATTTTATCTATGATGAGTCTGATATTATGTGTCGGATTCTGCGTAAATTATCCGGCTCACATATCTTACGCCTATATTTGTTCTCCGTATCAAACCCCCAATGAAAAAATGAAAGACAGTCTGTATCGTATCGGTTATCCAATATGTCAAGGATCTCTGTCAACTATTTTAGGAATTTTATTTGTATACAGAGATATGTACGCTTTCATTATATTAGTAAAAATTGTATTTCTTATTGCATTGGAAACTGCATTTCATGCATTGATTTTTGTTCCTGTTGTTCTTTCTTTAATCTCTTCAATCTTCATTAAAGCTAATAACGAAATATAGGGCCAGAAGCAAAGGAAAATATTTTCGGAGAATTTACTATTGTCTATTTAAAATAAACTTACAATTTTAAAACTTTTCAACATAGTTTATTTTTATTTAATTTGACGTTATATTTGTATCAGTGGTTAGTTCTAAAAATAAGTCACGATATAGTGTATTTTTTTTTCTTAATTTGTTTCAATTAAGAACATAAATCCATATCCAACAAAAGGTTTATCAGTCATGTTGTTTCATCCGTAATATAAGGAACATCATCTGAATATCTGTTATACATTATAATAAATCTGCTATACCCTGTTGTTAATAAGAATTATTTTTGATTGTGAAACATGAAAAAAAAAATTATGCCAATTGATTCTGACAAACAATCAAAACCAACATTTTAAAATTTCATGTGTACTAGGAAGTTATTTTAGATAAAATTATATTTTCATTTCTAATGAAGCAGTTTAAATTAGCTTTTTATTTGAGGACTTCTTTAATATGTTTAAAAAAATTCAAAAATGAGCATAAAATCATTATTTTCAAAGAAAGAAAAAACATCAGCTACAAAATATATTAGAATGTGGAAAAGCATCAAGAATTTTTTTGGCTGTTTATTTCTGGAAATAAACTTTTATTATGTTTATATAATTTATAATTTGGAAATAATCTGCTTTTAATAAATTTGAAAAACATATTTCTAGTCAGGTACATGATATGTGCAAATTGTTTTGAATTAAAATATTTTTTCAGTGTTTGAAAACAATTAAATTCATGACTATAATTTGTGTTTTTAATACATCAAAGGTAGATTATACTATAATGAAAAAATGTACTTTAAACAATAAATATATGAAATTGTGTGTTTTTTTTAAATTACTTTATTCTTACTTGAATTTTAGGTGGTGGGCTTCATCCTCAACTTGTTCCTTATGATTTACTTACTGATAAAGAAAAACGTAAGAACAGAGATCGTTCACAAGAACTACTAAAATTCTTACAGTCAGAGGGATATCGAACAGGAAGGTCAGAAATGATAAAAATTATATATTTTAAATTATTTGCAGATATTCTTTCATTTAATTTAGGAATATAATTAATTAATTATAATATCTTCATTATTTAATTTTTAGCTTTTAATACCATGCAAAGTCAACATGATAATACTGCCATAGTGATGCTACAATAAGAAAAATCAAAAGTACAATTCATATAATCAAATGAGTGTCTTCAGTCTGGTAGTATTGTGATATTATCAGTCTAAAGATAATGAGAAAAGTAGCTGATGGCAGATTAATTATATGTGAATAAAAATATCTTCTAGATCTGTTTTATTATTAGTTTTTAATGTCAGTTAAATGCTGATCAAAGTTTTTCTTTTCCTGATTTTAATAGTCATATAATTTTACAAAAGACCATAACAAACTTTAATAATTCATCTTTTTATTGAAACATAACCAAACAATCATCTTAAATAATTGGGCTATAGCTTTGCTAATTTAATGATTAATAATAAGTAATTTGCTACTAGAGATAGACACAAGGTGCCATATTTTAACTAAATTAATAATTATAATTTTAATAACTAATTAAATAATTTAAAATCATCTGGAAGAAAAGAACTGACCTGGGCATGGCTTGAACCCATAACCTTTGCTTGCTGTGCAGTGTACTTGCCAGTTGCACCACCAGAACCCCAAGCTAGCCTTTATGTGGTTAATGGTTCAGATGGCACAACTGACAAGCACACCACACAGCAAGCAGAGGTTATGAGTCAAGCCCTGCCCCGGGTCAGTTCTTTTCTTCCAGATGATTCTAAATTATTTAATTAATTATTAAAATTATAATTATTTATTTAGTTAAGAGATGGCACCTAATGTCTACCTCTAGTAGCAAATTATTTAGTATTAATCATTAAATTAGCAGAGTTATAGTTTGATTATTTAAGGTTATTATTTGGTTATGTTTCTATATACATATTGGGCTTTGCAATGTTTGATATACATCTTTTTATTTTTGAAAATGAAAAGATGGTTTATTAAGGTATTAAGTAAATTATATGATTTAAAATTGGAAAAAGAAGAAAGTTTGATCAGCATTTAAATAATATTAAAAAAGATGAATAAACTAAGATTAATTACAGTTTGGATATACAGTCAAACCTTAGGGTACAATTGCCCCTGTTTATGAACAATTCGGTTTACAAACAAAATTTTGAATGCCATATTTGTTCTGGATTACATACAATAACTCAGTTTCTGAACAAACTACTTGGCAGAGCTGGTTGTTAATGGTCAACTTCCTATATTCCCTATGATAAAAAAAGTCAATGTCCTCACCAATGAACAATAGGATTACCAATTTAGTACTGGCATCGAAATTCACCTTGTGTCATTAGATAACTCAACACAAACCATCAATGATGATGATATTCAAATTAGCTTTCAATGTGCACGCGGGTAAGATACTACTCCAGTTTTTAGTAAGTGTCACAATTCAATTTAAATCAAATTAATTAATAAAAACTGAGTTAATTGACATTTATGTAATATAAATGACTTCTAATAATTCATATTTAAAAGTTCTTAACTCAAATTAAATAACAAAATTAATATTATAATATATTACATATTATAATATTAATGTTTAATATGATATTTATTAATACTAGATAGCCAGTTAATTAAAATTAAAAATAATAATTAAAACTATGTTTTTTACACTGAAAGTAAAATTAAAAATAAAATCAAAAATTAAATCAAAATTAATTAATTTATTTATTAAAATTTAAATTTAAGCAATTGAAACATAATATTTCAGAAAATGTGGATAAAGTACTGTTGTCTGTCTTGATTCATTTGGTTATACAAGTATTTCATCCAGGCAGAGTCGAGTCTCTATTTATAGCACTTTTTGTAAAGTGTTGGTTTCAGTTTCAGTTGGTGGTGATGAAACATTTTGCTTTTAATATGTATATAAAATGGATATAGATAATATTATATTGCATTTTGTAGGCATTTTTATGCATGAAATGCTACTAAAAGGGTAAAAAAGGCTTTGCTTTGGGGGATGGGAATGGATTAATCCATTTTACATTGTTTTTTTATGAGAAAATTTGTTTCAGTTTGAGAACAAATCAGTTTCCAAACAACTTTTAGGAATGAATTAAGGTCGTAAACTGAGGTTTGACTGTGTTTATAAAAACAAAATATATTATATTTATATAAAACTACNTTAAATTTTGTTATTTTTATTAATAATAGATTAAATATTTTAAATTGAATTAGGAAAAAGAATGCTATGAAGAGCCTGTAAGAGAATCTTTAAAAGCAATTTTAGCTCTGGGGTGGAAAATTGAATTAACTGATTCATCTCGAGCATCAGCTTCTCAAGTAACTTCTCCAAAAACAGTGAGATACTTTTATTTTTACTTTGATAAAACTTTTACAATAAATAAAATATATTTTGAAAGAATATTTGTTTTTAGTTATTTTTTTTATTTTTACAGTCAAAATTATTTCAGAAATTTAAAAGAGATTTTGCAATGTAACTAACTAGTTTTACACAGTGCATAAATGGTTAGTGTTATGGTTAGATGTGAAAAAATATTTGCATTCTGCACAATATACTTCATTTATGCAATTACAGATATATGCTAAAACTTTCAGGTGCTTTTCTTCCAGGATGTATTTATTTCTCAAATTATGTTTTCATGCCAAAAACATTGAAGGATACTTTGATGAATGCATTTTTAAATTATCCATAAACTGGAATTAGCAAGAATAAAACTAGACCAAAATGCTGACCATTTCAAAGAAAATAAAATTAAATAGTAATTATACAATGACAAAAAATTAAACTATATATTTTCTTATTTTACTAAGAATATATAAAAAGCACATTGGAATGAATATTTCTGTGACATTTTCAGACAGAATTTCTCAGATATTTATTATTAAATGTATTAAATCTTAGAATTTATTTTTAAAACAACTTAAAATGATGTGTATTCTTTAAAAATTTTTTAAAAATGAAGCAAATTTTTAAAAAAACTAATGAAATTTTGCAATTTTAAGCAGTTTTAGTTTGTATATTAATTTTTTGGGCTGAAGGTGTTAATTGAATAGTTTAATAGTTTGTTAAATATATAAATTCTTCTATTTAAAACAATTTTAATAATTTAAAAAATTTTTATACATAATTTAGTGTTTTACAACACATTATATTAATTTAATAAAAATAATTAACATTGAAAAGGAAATAAATTTGTTAATTTTGTTGAAATAATTTGATTTTTTGATTTGAATATTTTTTATTATATTTACAACTATAACATTTTTAAAATCAGAGAATAATAGAATAAATTTTACATTTTATTGTTTTCCTGACTACTTTATTTAATAATTAATATATTTTTGTAATTGTGCCATTGCCCTGAAATTGTTACTGTTTTTGCTTATCAAAGCCAAAGAGTAGCCTTAAATAAAAGGTTGACTCTACCTTTCTCTGCTGTTCTTGAGGTGTTAAAAAGAACAAAATATGAAGATATTTATTGTTTATTTTAATTTTCTGAATATTTTTATATTTTATTGTTGTCCTGGCTATTTTACTTATTAAAGAATAATATTCTATTAACATTATTTTAATCTTAACATTCAACAATAGAATTGCTGAAATATTCAAGTATTTAAATAATAACAAGTATTGGAATTATATGTAATGTAGACAATGGTTCTTCTCAGTATCAAAATGTTTATAAATAAAACACTATACAAAAAACTTTAAAACTTCTTTAAGGAACTTTCTTTTTTTTCCTTATAATTTTTGGATGTGAATTTATTACTATTTACATGATATTTACTTGTATAAAGTTAAAAAATTAATAGAAAAATTTTTTTATTGGTATAATTATATATGATAAAGTATGATGTATAGATACATCATAACAAAATTATTACAAAAGTTGCTTCTAGCCCTTGATATAATTATATTAATTAAATTATCAACAACTGTGAGGTAGATAATAGTGAGGGCTTATCAGACCAATGATGGGCACAAACGCTCAGGGATCAAAGTGAAAACAATTTAATAAACACAAAAAATTACTACATAAGTATAGGATTTTACTATATTTTGGGTTATTACTATTTAGGGTATTACTACATTTTGGGTTTTCATTTCCATACTTATGTAGTAATTTTTTGTGTTTATTAAATTGTTTCACTTTGATTCCTGAGCATTTATCTGCCTCACAGTTATTGATAATTTAATTAATATAAGATACATCATACTTTATCATATAATTGATAGTTGATAGATACATGATAGAGTATAATAGATGAATGAATATGAAATTTTTGTTTAGTGAATTTGAAATTATGCTGTGTACAAAACACATTTTGATTCGTTGTTTATATTAATAATCATTACAAATCTTGATTTAAAATCTTTTTTAAATTATATTTGTCATCAAAATAAAGTTCTGTGTAAAATAATAAATCTTTAATTTTATTATTTAATTAATTTGAGATGTAATCAAATCATCATGTAATCTTTTCCCATGTATAGTTTTATTTTCTGTTCACTTTTTTGTAGTTAACTTTGACTTGAAATATTTATTAATAAACTACATAATATTTATAAACAAGCAGGTATAACTGTGAGTTTTTTCCCTTTAAACTAAAGTAGGACTGCAATTATCTGAGCTCCAATTATTTGAGGTTCTGCATTATATGAAGTGAATCTGAAAACTAAACTTAAAAACTAATTTTCTTAACTCTAAAGACTTGTAAAGAAAATTTAAAATGATGTTACCAGTAACAGTGTGATAAGTTTCTGTAATCTCTACTAAAGTATTTTAGATTTAGTTTCAACAAATTTCAAGACAAGAAGCTCTTTTATAATATAAAATTTAAAATAATAATGTGAATTACAAATGATTTGTTTCTATTACTTTATGTTGTTTAGAAAATGTTGTTTAGACAATGGTTTTACTGAACTTGATTTCTGTAATATTTAGGTAGATTGTAAAAAATGAAAAATAAAATCAGTATATATCAACTAATAATGTATGTATTTAAAAGTTTAAAGGTTTAGTATACATAAATATTAAATTGTTAATAGAATATAAAGGCCATAATTTTAAATATTGTTTGCAAAAAGAATTAACAAAAAGAATTAAAAGTGGTAATTTTTGATTGATGATTATATTTATTCTATGATTTAATCTGATTTTTAGGGAGAATCAACCCATTCATACAATCCCCAACCTGTTGATCTCACAACACTCACATTGAGCAGAGAAATGCAGGTAAGATAAAATTTAAAACAATTCAATTTTATCTTTTTGAGAAAATTTAATCTTACATATTTTTATGTAGAATATGGCAGAAAGATTAGCAGAAAATACTCATGATATATGGGCCATGAAAGTTAAAACTGAAATGGATGCTATTGGTAAGCCATAAAATATAAAACATTTATAATTAAATATTATTATTCTACACATTATAAAAACAAGTGCTTTATTGATGTTATAAAAAAGTTATAAAAAATGATTTTGAAAATTTTAATTTTTAAAACTAATTTTTTAAACTTTTCATAATTTTAGAAAAATGTATAGTTTTGAATCTCTTTAATAAATTATAAATAAAAAGAGTGTATTTTTTTTTCTTAATTTGTTTCAATTAAGAACATAAATCCATATCCAACAAAAGGTTTATCAGTCATGTTGTTTCATCCGTAATATAAGGAACATCATCTGAATATCTGTTATACATTATAATAAATCTGCTATACCCTGTTGTTAATAAGAATTATTTTTGATTGTGAAACATGAAAAAAAAAATTATGCCAATTGATTCTGACAAACAATCAAAACCAACATTTTAAAATTTCATGTGTACTAGGAAGTTATTTTAGATAAAATTATATTTTCATTTCTAATGAAGCAGTTTAAATTAGCTTTTTATTTGAGGACTTCTTTAATATGTTTAAAAAAATTCAAAAATGAGCATAAAATCATTATTTTCAAAGAAAGAAAAAACATCAGCTACAAAATATATTAGAATGTGGAAAAGCATCAAGAATTTTTTTGGCTGTTTATTTCTGGAAATAAACTTTTATTATGTTTATATAATTTATAATTTGGAAATAATCTGCTTTTAATAAATTTGAAAAACATATTTCTAGTCAGGTACATGATATGTGCAAATTGTTTTGAATTAAAATATTTTTTCAGTGTTTGAAAACAATTAAATTCATGACTATAATTTGTGTTTTTAATACATCAAAGGTAGATTATACTATAATGAAAAAATGTACTTTAAACAATAAATATATGAAATTGTGTGTTTTTTTTAAATTACTTTATTCTTACTTGAATTTTAGGTGGTGGGCTTCATCCTCAACTTGTTCCTTATGATTTACTTACTGATAAAGAAAAACGTAAGAACAGAGATCGTTCACAAGAACTACTAAAATTCTTACAGTCAGAGGGATATCGAACAGGAAGGTCAGAAATGATAAAAATTATATATTTTAAATTATTTGCAGATATTCTTTCATTTAATTTAGGAATATAATTAATTAATTATAATATCTTCATTATTTAATTTTTAGCTTTTAATACCATGCAAAGTCAACATGATAATACTGCCATAGTGATGCTACAATAAGAAAAATCAAAAGTACAATTCATATAATCAAATGAGTGTCTTCAGTCTGGTAGTATTGTGATATTATCAGTCTAAAGATAATGAGAAAAGTAGCTGATGGCAGATTAATTATATGTGAATAAAAATATCTTCTAGATCTGTTTTATTATTAGTTTTTAATGTCAGTTAAATGCTGATCAAAGTTTTTCTTTTCCTGATTTTAATAGTCATATAATTTTACAAAAGACCATAACAAACTTTAATAATTCATCTTTTTATTGAAACATAACCAAACAATCATCTTAAATAATTGGGCTATAGCTTTGCTAATTTAATGATTAATAATAAGTAATTTGCTACTAGAGATAGACACAAGGTGCCATATTTTAACTAAATTAATAATTATAATTTTAATAACTAATTAAATAATTTAAAATCATCTGGAAGAAAAGAACTGACCTGGGCATGGCTTGAACCCATAACCTTTGCTTGCTGTGCAGTGTACTTGCCAGTTGCACCACCAGAACCCCAAGCTAGCCTTTATGTGGTTAATGGTTCAGATGGCACAACTGACAAGCACACCACACAGCAAGCAGAGGTTATGAGTCAAGCCCTGCCCCGGGTCAGTTCTTTTCTTCCAGATGATTCTAAATTATTTAATTAATTATTAAAATTATAATTATTTATTTAGTTAAGAGATGGCGCCTAATGTCTATCTCTAGTAGCAAATTATTTAGTATTAATCATTAAATTAGCAGAGTTATAGTTTGATTATTTAAGGTTATTATTTGGTTATGTTTCTATATACATATTGGGCTTTGCAATGTTTGATATACATCTTTTTATTTTTGAAAATGAAAAGATGGTTTATTAAGGTATTAAGTAAATTATATGATTTAAAATTGGAAAAAGAAGAAAGTTTGATCAGCATTTAAATAATATTAAAAAAGATGAATAAACTAAGATTAATTACAGTTTGGATATACAGTCAAACCTTAGGGTACAATTGCCCCTGTTTATGAACAATTCGGTTTACAAACAAAATTTTGAATGCCATATTTGTTCTGGATTACATACAATAACTCAGTTTCTGAACAAACTACTTGGCAGAGCTGGTTGTTAATGGTCAACTTCCTATATTCCCTATGATAAAAAAAGTCAATGTCCTCACCAATGAACAATAGGATTACCAATTTAGTACTGGCATCGAAATTCACCTTGTGTCATTAGATAACTCAACACAAACCATCAATGATGATGATATTCAAATTAGCTTTCAATGTGCACGCGGGTAAGATACTACTCCAGTTTTTAGTAAGTGTCACAATTCAATTTAAATCAAATTAATTAATAAAAACTGAGTTAATTGACATTTATGTAATATAAATGACTTCTAATAATTCATATTTAAAAGTTCTTAACTCAAATTAAATAACAAAATTAATATTATAATATATTACATATTATAATATTAATGTTTAATATGATATTTATTAATACTAGATAGCCAGTTAATTAAAATTAAAAATAATAATTAAAACTATGTTTTTTACACTGAAAGTAAAATTAAAAATAAAATCAAAAATTAAATCAAAATTAATTTATTTATTTATTAAAATTTAAATTTAAGCAATTGAAACATAATATTTCAGAAAATGTGGATAAAGTACTGTTGTCTGTCTTGATTCATTTGGTTATACAAGTATTTCATCCAGGCAGAGTCGAGTCTCTATTTATAGCACTTTTTGTAAAGTGTTGGTTTCAGTTTCAGTTGGTGGTGATGAAACATTTTGCTTTTAATATGTATATAAAATGGATATAGATAATATTATATTGCATTTTGTAGGCATTTTTATGCATGAAATGCTACTAAAAGGGTAAAAAAGGCTTTGCTTTGGGGGATGGGAATGGATTAATCCATTTTACATTGTTTTTTTATGAGAAAATTTGTTTCAGTTTGAGAACAAATCAGTTTCCAAACAACTTTTAGGAATGAATTAAGGTCGTAAACTGAGGTTTGACTGTGTTTATAAAAACAAAATATATTATATTTATATAAAACTACATATTACATTGCTAAGTTAAATTTACATTGATGCATCATAATTTATAATTTTATATTATAAATTATACATCATTTATAATTTACAATTATTTTCAGCTTTTGAATTAGCATGAAAATAGTTGAAAATGAAATGTTTCCTTTTAACTTCTAATTTTAAATATTTATTGTTCCATAATAACAAAATATATCATATTAAGAGAGAAGACAAAAGTTTAATTTTTAATGTTTCAATTTAAATTTATATTCTTTCAGAAAATTTAGTATATAATTAAATCAGTAATGCTAATTAATTTAATAAAAATTTTAAATTTGTTCTAATATTTTTATTTAATTAAAAAATATTGATTTTACATTAGCAGAGATGTAACCATAAAATTTTGAGTTTGGGTCACCCACATTTCTGATAGCTTTATAGATTTAGCATAGGTAGGTAGGCTACTGTAAAGATGCAATAGCCCAAGATCATTTGCACATTATTGTGCTATATTGATAAGACAGCTCCTTGCATGTTCTTGATCATCAGCAAATTTAATGGACTTGATGTATTCACCATGTATTCTAACTCCTTTTGCATTTTCCATAACCTCGGTCATCATTTCTTCTGAGTATATATTAAATAAGTCAGGGGAGAGTAAGCACCCTTGTCTTACTCCTTTTTGGATATTTATTAAATCTGTAAGACAGCATCAATTTTTACCTTTGCTTGCTGATCCAAATATAGTCTTTCTGTTAAATTAGTAATCTTCCCTTCAATTCCAATTTTTCTTAATATGGTAAAGAGTTTATTCCATCTTATTCTGTCGAATGCCTTTTCATAGTCTATAAAGCATGCATAGAGATTTCTCCCTTGGTTTATGAATCTTTTGCCTAGCATTCTCAAGCTGGCTATGGCCTCTCTTGTTCCCTTTTGTTTCTGAAACCCAAATTTATCTGGTCCGATGTAAGCTTTAATTTTATCTTCAATTCTGTTCTTTATTATCTTTAATAGTATTTTTGAAGTTGGGATATTAGGCTTATTGTGCGGTATTGGCTACATTCTACTACATTGCTCTTTATTGGTAGTGGTATCATTATTGTTGTGGAATAATCCTTAGGCCATTCTCCTTTCATGTGTATCTGGTTGATTAGCTCAAATAGAGATCTTTGTAACATGTCACCTCTGTCTTTAATAAATTCTATTGTGATTTGGTCTATTCCTGTCCCCTTCTTATTTGTTATTGAGTTCGGTGCATTTTTGAATTCATCATGTAAAATGGGGAGTTCTTCTTCGTTGATTAGCGGGGTTTTTTGTCTAATTGTACATCATTCCTATACAAGCTTTACACATAATCACTCCATCTTATAGTGATATCCTCTTCATTAATCAGGAGTTTACCATTTTTATCATTTACTGACCCTATTTTGATTGTATTATTCTTCTTGGTCCATTTCCTAATCTCATTAAATGCAAGGTCACTTCAGCCTTTTCTTTCCAACTCCTCAATCATCTCACATCTCTCTCTCCATCACTCCTCCCTAGTCTTTTTACTTTCTCTTTGTAGTTCATTTCTCAGCCTCTTATATTTTTTTTGTCCTACTTCAGTATTTACATTTTTCCATTTTCTTTTCTCTTCAATTTTCACCATCATTTCTTGTGTGATCCATGTTTACTTACATCATTTTGTTTATTCCCTATAACCTCATTGGCTATATTCAATATGTTCTTTTTAATTTAAGGTAGTTCCACTTATCTTCAACTCTATCACCACCCATGGTCTTTCCAATTGCTTTGTCCAATCTTTGTTTGAATTGCATACTTGCCTTCTCATTCCTTAACTTTTCCAAATTCCATTTTTACCTTCCCTTTTTCTTAAGGATCTCCTGTATTTTAATTTACTGTTCATAATTACGAGATTATGATCACTCTCTGCATCTGCCCCTGGGTAGCTGATTGACTTCGTGACTTGATTTCTATATCTTTCTTTCACCATTATGTAATCAATCTGGTATTGTTTTTTGTCTCCTGGACTTTTCCATGTATATCTTCTTCTTAAAGGTGTGTTGAACCAAGTATTTGTAATAAAAAGTGTGAGGGGCTCAGCTGTGGATACGGAGTGGTAAGACTCTAGTATCACTTACTCAGCAACTATTCTCTAGAATAGCCCTCTGTTTGTCTAACAAGGATGGTTTTTCTATTCAAAGAAATCGAGGGTGGAGGGCTTTAACCAATAAGTTCATTTACAGTTTGAATGTTAATTTAAAATGGAATTAGATGATTGTGTAATCACCCTCTTTCTTACGTCAGGATTCCTGACACCAGTTAATCAATTCTTTTAAACGCGGATTAACACATGTTATCCTTAAACTCGGGATTCAGAGGAACTAAGGAAACTTAAATGAAAATGAATGTCTAATAAGAACCAAACCATTTTATAAAACAAATCGAAACATTTAATGAATCAAATAATAAAATATACAAGGAATGAATATAATCTAAATCTAACTTAATCTATCTTATTTCTAACCTAACGCGTGACAGAGTTTACATCGATCTATTCAGAGCTTATATTACCTTCACCATATTTTTTGTATTTGTTTATTGTTTTTTGTATTGTATGAGGATCTTCTTCCTTCTTATTTCTATTCTTCTCTTTTATTTAGTTTAACGTCTTTCATATGACGACTTTTTCGGATGCATAGTCTTTATCGTATATTGGATTCTTCTGTATGGCAATATCTTCTTCGATGGACTGCCCTTATCGTATGTCGGACTTATTTCTTATGGCAAACTTTCTTCGATGGACTGCGTATGTTGGACTTCTTGCATGGCAACCTTTTTCTAACAGATTGCCCTTATTGTATGTCGGACTTATTTCTTATGGCCAACTTCCTTCGACGGACTGCATATGTTCGACTTCTTGCATGGCAATACCTCGTTTCTACAGTCTGCCTCGAATGGCGGGAAAACGGCCCTTTTATTTGGTCTTCCGTAATGTGTGCAAAAACTCGACTCATCCTGAGTTAGCCTGGGAAAGGAAATCAACTTCCTTTCAAAAATTCTGATGTTTTCTCCAGTTTTAGATAAAATCTTGTTGAAGTTGAAAATATTATTTTCTATTATTTTAATTCTTTTCTCCAACTTATTATTTTGATTAAAATGATCCTCCCTTGAATGTTCAGATCTCACAAAAGGTTTTCTTGTCTACAGAAATCAATCAGTTTTTGTCCTCTGTCATTCCTTTTCCCTAAGCCAAAGTTTCCTGATTTTTTCATCTCCTTCCTGCCCCACTACAGCATTCCAGTCACCCATTATTATTAGGTTTACCTGAGTTGGTGTATCTTTTATAAGTTCTTCGGTCTGCTCATAGATAGCTTCTACCTCCCAATCATCATGTCCCATTGTAGGCATATGCACTTGTATAATTTTTATGTCAAATGGTTTTGCTGCAATTCTTATTGAAATTAATCTACGTTCTGAAATTTTAAGTTATTTAATTTGTTCAGCTAGTTTTCTGTGTAGGATAATTCCTACCCCGCCCTGACCATTTTTTTTCTCCAGAATGGATTACCTTAAATTCCTCACTCCAGAATACACCTTCCTCTCTCCACCTTATTTCGCTTAAACCCAGGATCTGTAAGTGATGTCTTCTCATTTCATATTTAATAACTTTTGGTTTTCCTATTTGCAAAAGAGTTCTAATGTTTTATGTTCCAATTTTAAGGTAAGGATTTCGCTGGTTAACGGCCTGGGAAGCCCTGCTACTTTCCCTGCCGGATACGACACTTGGCCTCCTAGAGATATGGTAGTTTCCCTTTGCGTTCCATAGCATAGTATCATGGTCAGTTATACGAAGATGTCATATTTGCCTTGACTTTCTGGTGTTGAGCCCTACCAGATAATATTATCTTTGGCCCCAAGCCAAGGGTAGTGCTACTGCTCACTACCATGGTATCTTGCTTGGTCTGGCTCCTACCCCTCAAAGACCTGTTTGGCTTGGATGACCCTACCAGTAGCTAAGCTACCGCCAACATAGCTCCCAGGGTCAACAGAGCACACAAGCCCCACCACCACAACAAGGTGAAGATACCATTTGGTAGTGGACTAAACTATATTATTATATATTGTCTTTATATGTAATGATATTTGTATGGATGCTTTCATTGTAACCTTTCATTATAAATATCAAACATGTGCATTTTTAGTTTTATATTTTCAGATCTAAATATTTAGGCACTCCTACTAGTCTGTTAATATTAATATGATGATAACTATAATTCATTACAACAACTTTTACATGATTTACTTCATTTATGGTAATTGCTAGGTATTATATTAAGATATTACATTTACTCTAAATATTAGTGGCTGCTACATTTTTGTAATGGAGATCTTATGGATTATTTTTAATATATAGAGATAAATGACTTTTTCATAAATGCTAGTTTTTACAGATTTACTTTTGAAATGAAGAGAATGTCAAAAAATTTTTATACCATTAAATGATTCAGTTATAAAATTATAAATTAGATTGCCTTAAGATAATAAGTCAACTGTTGGAGTTGGACATAATCATTATTGTATTTTCAAATGTTGTGTTACTCCCATAATTATTTATCTATAACTTAATATCTCCACATAATGAACACTTGTTTACTTTAATGTATTTCCTTTGTGTTGATTGTGAAGATATCTGTTTAAACATTTCAAAAACATTAGTTGAAGAATAAAATACAGATGATTTTATTTGAATGGCAGTGTACATCATGAAATATGTAACCAATTGAATTTGATTTTAATCAAGAACCAATTTCATCAATATAGAAGTTTTATATCATATTCCTCATTCATATTTTTTTAATTTATGTTTTAATGTTCTCATTTTTCTTCTTAAATAATAATTTATTTATCAAAATCCCTTAGTTAAGACTGGGATTTACAAAATTCTGTTTACTTTCTCTTTTTAAACTGCTTATTATTTCTCAAGTCTTGAAATAGAACATTATTCTTCACTGCAGTTTTATTATTTTCTTCTGTTTATCTCATTACTATTTTTATTCTTGTTTTACTGAACTATATTTGATTAAAAATTAAACTTTTGTGTCATATAAATTTAAAGCATGGAAGATTTATATTAACTGTTTTGTTTATAAAATAAATTATATATATTTTAAGATTAATAATCTATTAATTTTTTTGGTTCTATTCAGTTCTGATTAATTTCCCTATTATTATTTTTTCTTTTCCCACCTTTTTTATTCCTTTTGCTTCTTGAAATGCTGTTTATTATTATACTAAAATGTAATATATTTTTAAAACATTTTTATTTTTACATTTTTTGCAAATTTTGGAATATATATTATAAAATGTTTTTGTTTTTCTTATCATTTTTTATACCTTTTTTATGTAAACATAAAAATTATTGCCTAAAATGCCAATAAACCATATAACAAATTTTATTAATCTTATTTAACTTTTTTGCTTGTTGCTTGATGTTGATTCTGACTTTTATATGGGAAATTTTAAAATTCCTTTTAAAACTAATAATTGAATTATATTTTTTATTTTATGATACTTGCTTGTGTTTTTTTTTCTTTTTCTGCTTGCATTGGTGCCTGGTTTTTCTTTCATAATCTTTAGAAGTAGAATTCCTGAAAATACTCATATTCAATCAATCAGTAGGGCTAGCAAAAAATCAGTGCAAGAATCTGGAGAACAGGCTGGATCAACTTCTAGTGGTGAGAGATTTGCCTCATTGCTTTTAGAAAAACTCTTGCAATATTTGGATGTTGCTGCCATTAATATGAAGATTCTAAAACCTAGTGCCAATTATAGTCGTCGAAGTAGTTTCAAAACTTCTACTCGTGATGTGAAATTTTTCAGCAAGGTTTGTGTGAAACTATTTTTTAATATTTAAAAATAAATTTCAATTAATTAATTTAAAATGAAACAAGTATTTGACAAATGGAAAACTTTTCAAATTTATAATATTACATAAATATACAGGGTGTATCAGAATGACATTTTAAAAATTTGGGAGATTGTAGAGGATGAAATTTTGAACGTTTTGATAAAACGACGAACCATGTTTTGTCCGACTCTCTGTAAGATGCCACGCTTTCCTCTGATGGTATTAAATGCTGTAAAGATGCGCTTCGTAAGCTTATGAACTGTTCCTACAGATGTTGCATACACAAGGGACTTTACATAACCTCAGAGGAAGAAGTCAAGAACAATAACGTGACGTCAATGGATGGAAGGGTAGCTACCAAAGTGAAGAGTGGTCATGCACTTCCTACCGCTGTAGAAACTTTATATCACATTTCCGACTATGGGTTTCTTATATCAAAACGTTCAAAATTTTATCCTCTACAATCCCCCAAATTTTTAAAATGTCATTCTGATACACCCTGTGTATATATGTAATATTATAAATTTGAAAAGTTTTCCATTTGTCAAATACTTGTTTCATTTTAAATTAATTAATTGAAATTTATTTTTAAATATTAAAAAATAGTTTCACACAAACCTTGCTGAAAAATTTCACATCACGAGTAGAAGTTTTGAAACTACTTCGACGACTATAATTGGCACTAGGTTTTAGAATCTTCATATTAATGGCAGCAACATCCAAATATTGCAAGAGTTTTTCTAAAAGCAATGAGGCAAATCTCTCACCACTAGAAGTTGATCCAGCCTGTTCTCCAGATTCTTGCACTGATTTTTTGCTAGCCCTACTGATTGATTGAATATGAGTATTTTCAGGAATTCTACTTCTAAAGATTATGAAAGAAAAACCAGGCACCAATGCAAGCAGAAAAAGAAAAAAAAACACAAGCAAGTATCATAAAATAAAAAATATAATTCAATTATTAGTTTTAAAAGGAATTTTAAAATTTCCCATATAAAAGTCAGAATCAACATCAAGCAACAAGCAAAAAAGTTAAATAAGATTAATAAAATTTGTTATATGGTTTATTGGCATTTTAGGCAATAATTTTTATGTTTACATAAAAAAGGTATAAAAAATGATAAGAAAAACAAAAACATTTTATAATATATATTCCAAAATTTGCAAAAAATGTAAAAATAAAAATGTTTTAAAAATATATTACATTTTAGTATAATAATAAACAGCATTTCAAGAAGCAAAAGGAATAAAAAAGGTGGGAAAAGAAAAAATAATAATAGGGAAATTAATCAGAACTGAATAGAACCAAAAAAATTAATAGATTATTAATCTTAAANTATATGTATGACCCCTATATAACCTAAAACCTATACAACAAGCAGATTCAATTATTAATGCCAAATGAACTGTCAAGTTGTTAATTGGGCATAATAAGACTAATTTAATGATTAAAGAAATTTGGCTATAGGTAGTCAGTTCGTCGCTATTTAATGATAAATTGAATAATAAAAATAAATTCAATTTTTAATTTTAAATTTAAAATATTCTGAAAGAAAAGATCAGATTGAAATGAGACTGAAACCTGTAACTCTTACATACCATGCATATGCATTGCCAATTATGCTATCCACATCTTTGCTTCCAAAGTAATTAATTACTCGACTAACTTAGATAAAACTATACATATCCCTCATAGCCTGTATGGTTATATCTAAATTTATCATTCAGTGGAGGCCTAACCACCTACCTATAGCCAAATTACTGTATGTCTAATCATTAAATTAGCCTTATTATACCCTGATTAATGATATGGCACATTTATTTGGCATTAATTACATAAATTTTTATTTTTGTTTACTAATTTAATATAATTTTATTAAAAATCATAAGTATCAAACTAAAATATACAAACCAACTTTTTGTTTTATCAGAAACTAATAGGTAAACCTGTCATTGCCTGGGCAAAAAATGAGAACAAATGTGAGGTTAGCTGACTGGGTGCAACTATCATCGTTGTGCGGTCACAACTATTGTGTGGGAGTGGAAAAAACTCTCTGAGACAGGCTTTCCATCTTTAACTTATTTAATAAAATTTAAAATCTCTTACAACAATTCTTATGATAAGGCATAACACCTCTCAAAGGGAGAGAAACAAGTATGCACAAAAAGTCCAAATGTTCAGTCTATCATTTTTCCTCTTCCAATGATGGTGGTGTGAAAATCGACGGCTCTAGGGTGCACAGCATGGCTTCGAGAGATGTCTTCCTGCAAATAGGTGGACCTGGGCAAATCTGGATGACTCTGGAGAGCAAAGAACAATCCTTGGATGTCAAAAAATCTTTCGTTGGTGAACTGCAGGATCACAAACTTCCGGGAGAGGAGCACTACAGACCAAGAACACTACATCCTTGATTCGCACGATTTTTATAACTTTTCCCCCAAAGTCGTCATTTAATTGGTCTTTCTTTGTCATCTGGTGCCAAACGACACCTGTCGAGGGGTGCAGGAGAGGTCAACTTCATGACTAAACCCGACTCTTCTCTAACCATGTTTCCATCGACTTTGGTCTTTTCAACATCATTTTTCCTTTGTTTAAAATTTTACAAAAAAAAACTTTTATTGTTTAATTGAGACTTTTAATTTCTCCCTTTTGTGTTGTAAAAGGAGATTTTTAAGATCTAATGAGATCTTAAACCACCTCCATCTTGTTTACGTTAATTTTGAAAACAGTCCAAATGCAATATAGGTCAGTTAGGTGATATTATTTTAAAAATTCACCAAAAATCAAGTTATCATTATATTCATATGAAAAAAATCACATACATTTATTAATATCTTTAGTTTTAAATATGATATTTTTCAATACATTTTATTAGAAAAATTTATAAGAAAAATAATAATATATATCAGAATTGACATTTAAACTTGATAATTTTTAACTTTTTGTCAAAATTAACATTGTTTAGTTACCTAGTTTTTTGCTGACAATGAGCCAGAAAGACATATAATATTGTTCTGTACAACTCTATATAACACTTATGCATGTATGTTTATTTGTTGTGAAATTATCACACATTATATCAAACATTTGTTTGAAATCAAAGCTTTATTATGCTACCAACTAATATAATGAACTAATATACTTTATTCACTTCATATTGAACAAGAATATAAATTTTTGTAATAAACATGTGATTTACCAGTAGTAATACATGTAAC